CAATAAAATGACCGGCTTATCACAACTACTCACTACAATAAAATGACCGGCTTATCACAACTACTCACTACAATAAAATGACCGGCTTATCACAACTACTCACTACAATAAAATGACTGCAATTTTTATGCCTCGAGCGTCCGTGTTTTTGTTCTCACTGATGGCTAGTGGGTGGTTGGCGGGTGCTCTGGTGTGGTTTGCTTCTTCTTTCCTGTCAAACATCTATCGTCCTTATCTCTCCTCTTTCTTTTTATGTTTGTTACTCTCTTGTAACACCTCTAATCTTCTGGCACTCATATGACCTTGTGTAGTTGCAAGCGCCGTAAAACCTCTACTAAAACAAAACTGATGGCTGTCATGTCTTTCACTTTTACTGTACGTTATTTTGCTAATTCTCCTTCCTAAATGTGGATGGTTGGAGGGTGTCACTAGTGCTAGTAGGTAATATTTTTTATCTTTCTCGTACAATAGTAATTTATGTCTGGATGGTTGGGGGGAGCCACTAGTACTAATACTAATAGGTCATATTAATTTTTATCTTTCTCGTAGTAATTTATCATGTCCGTCTTGCTCTGTCTGGGCTCTAAAACATTGCTATAACATGGACGGGCTTCTTTTTTCTCAAACTAAAATTCTAGTAAATCTACCTAAAACAGGCACACTTCTGACTCTATTGATATATGGAGTTGGACTGTGTTACAGATGATGCTGGTTCAAATTCCAAGTTGACAATTCTTCTATGTGGGTTGTTTGGGAAGTTTTTTTGACATTTAGTATCCTTTATGAACCTTTCATCTGTCAGTTTCAGTTGGATGAGAAACATTTTTGGGAAACCGTTTCACTGAAGTCAGTTCCTTGTGTGACAAATTCTTATATATCCACGCTTCAAAGTTGATGAAGATTGCAGGATATAAACATCAGATCTACACATGTTTAAAATTGAGTGTAGGGTTTTAATAATATGATGGTGGTGAAATCTCCGTTCATGTAAAATTGTGTACCAAAACAGTGTGAGCTGCTGACAGACACTCGGGTGTTTCAAGAATATTCTTGAGCTAAAAAGATAAGAGAGGATACAATATGACACACTTTATTAAATTTCTTCCATTGCATGAAATTTGACAATGTATTTTGCTTCACATGCTTTTACAAAACAAAATATGAATATAATATATGTGGTAGTATTCCAAACACACTTATGCACACACACGCACAGACACACACACACACACACACACACGCACACACATACACAAACATGCACTCACACACAAACAAACATACACACACACACACA